TCTGCTTTCACCCCAATCTCACTCAAAAGAGATCTAACCCAAAGAAGTTCTGAGACACCATGAGACATGAATTTATACTCAGCTTCTGCACTTGACCTTGCCACAACCACTTGCTTCTTACTCTTCCAGGAGCAAGTTTCCACCTACAAAGGTACACACTTCTGATGTAGACCTCCTGTCATCTAAGAATCCTGTCCAGTCTACATCTGTATAGGATTCTAGCTTCAGATTCTCATGATTTGAGAAAAGAGTGCCTCTGCCAGGGGGCTTTTTCAAATATGCAAGTATTCTCTCAATAGCTTCCCAGTGCTGAAATCGAGGTGCATGCATGTACTGACTCACAACACTGACAACATAAGAAATATCTGGTTGTGTCATACACAAATACAACAGTCGGCCCACCATTCTTTGATATCTCCCTACATCCTTTACCAATTCACCGCCCACACCATTAATTTTGTGATTTGGATCAATAGGAGTGTCTGCTGGTTTGGTCCCCAACTTCCCAGTCTCTCGCAGTAGGTCAAATACATACTTTCTCTGTGAAATGAAGATCTCATGCTTGGATCTTGCAACTTCAATCCCTAAGAAGTATTTGAGCTCACCAAGATCTTTGATCTCAAATTCTTGCTGCAATGATTTTTTGAGATCATCAATCTCCACCAGATCATTTCCTATCACCACTATATCATCCACATACACAATCAGAATTGATAGCAAAGCATCTCTCCTCTTCACAAAGAGGGTGTGATCAAACTGTGTCTGTGTGTATCCAAAACGGACGAGTACCCCTCTAAACCTATCAAACCAAGCTCTAGGTGATTGTTTCAGTCCATACAGAGATTTTCTGAGTCTGCACACCTTTCCTTTACCAACATTTTCATAAAAGCCTGCTGGAATGTCCATATATACCTCATCCTGTAAATCACCGTTGACGAAAGAATTTTTGACATCAAGCTGGAACAAGGGCCATGAAAAGGTGGTTGCTAGAGATAAAAAGATACGAATTAAACTCATCTTAGCTACTGGTGCAAAGGTTTCCAGATAATCAACACCATAGGTCTGAGTATACCCTTTTGCTACCAACCTTGCCTTGTACCTCTCTATCTTGCCACCGACCTTATACTTCACTATGAATACCCATTGACATCCGACTATCTCCTTGTCTGGGGGGAGATCAACTATTTTCCAAGTTTGGTTTTTGACCAAAGCATCCATCTCATCTTGCATGGCGGTTTTCCTCTCAGGTTTGGAGAGAGCCTCAGTAACATTCCTAGGTATAGACACAAAATCCAGGGAAAAAAAGAAAAGCACGGTAGGAGGGTGATAAGGCACTGTAGGAAAGATAGTGTGAAATGCAGTGGGCTGTACACTTCTCTTCCCCTTACGAAGTGCAATGGGAAGATCAAGGTCAGTGGGATCAACTGCAACAATGGTGCTAGGGACAGAAACATTATCATCAGAAAATATAATAGGCTCAGGCTCAAGAGGAATACCTGGAACTGTATCTACCAAATCTAGAGTTTCAGGACTTACAGAGAGTGATGTGGGTCGAGGATGTGTCGAGTCAACCATCATCTGCCGGCGTTGATATTGCTGTGAGGCTGCCTGTAGTGGCTCAGGTAATGAAATTGGAGGTGTAGGTGCTGGCTGAACCGATTGTGCAGGTGGTGGCTGAACTGATGGAGGCACCACAAAAACAGGAAGAAGAACAAATTGTGAGTTCTCCTTCCCAAAACTCTCCTCCTGAGGAGAACCACTCGAGAAGAAGAATGTGGATTCAAAAAAGGTAACATCCATAGTGACAAATCTGCTCCTCGACACT